ATGATTAAATGAGTTTTTTTGGTTAAAAATAAATATTATATTGTAAAAAATAAATACAAAATGGAATAGTTTTATATATATGTATTGAATGATTGTCATAAACATTTATTTATTTATTTTGTTGAATGATATATGATTAAGTCCTTTCATTTTCTTTGCCATTTGATTATAACTTATAGTGTAATTAAATTTTGTATTGAATGATTGTCATAAACATTTATTTTTATTTTTATTTTTAAAAATTAAAGCCTTAAATATTTTTCCACCAATAAGGAGAGAGTGGAACCTTACTTTTATATATATGATTAATTGATTTAATACTCCCTTTTTCAAATAGGATGTTAAAATGTTTTAGTTAAAGGACACAATATAAGAACTTTTTTTGCAAAAGTCATTTTATATTATGATTTAAGAAAATTCAACCAGTGATATAAAAGTGGAGAATATAGAATTAATAATAAAGATCAAATCACTGATAATTTGCATAAATAATTGTAAAAAATAAAATTATGATAAAATAAAATTAAACTTACAAAATATATGTATATTTTGAAAGAGAGGGAGTATAAAAATTACACAAAAGAAAACATGTAAATTGAGTAAAATCCAATGACAATAAGGTTTATTTGTGATAGGTATTCACATATGCATTGATTTATTGATCATTTCTCGCAATCTTGTAGGAGATACCATGGTACAAAGATTATTTATGTGAAGTAGTTGAAGTAGTTCATCATGATTTTGATGTATTTCTTTTAGTTTTAAAATCATAAGTGATCCTACAAGGTTCATGGTTTATTTTATGTCAAGTGGTTAACATCTTTCAAATTTAGTTTAGGGGTGGACATTCGGTTTGTCGGTTTGGTTTCAGTTTGGTTTACGATTTTTTGGTTCTTTAAAAATGAAACAATATAGAAACCATATGTATTTTGGTTTGGTTACAATTTGATTTTTACGGTTTATGGTTTACAATTTCTACTATAGTATTTTTGAATATGAAAAAAAAACTAAATTGAGAAAATTCAAAAACAAATAAGTCTTATTTGTAATAGGTTTTCATTTGTACTATTTATTTATCGTAGCTCCAAAAATCCTTTTAACCAGATGACAGACTACACTAATATAGTAATAAACTGTTAGAATATTCTATGACTACGTGACTATAGTATCCTGATTTTGATATACTTCTTTTATTTTTAAAATCAGGAGTGGTCCTAATATTTTCATAGTTTGTTTTATATCCAATGTGTTATTAACATATTTCACATTTAGCCACGTACATTTTATAATCATATATGTGTATAGTTTTTAAATGTTTTCAAATGATCTTAAAAAGAACATGAAAATTTCCTGAAAATAGGTTTTAATTTACATAATGTTATGGATTATATATTAACGGAATTAGCACGTCAAGATGTGTGCATTTAGATCCTTTTCAACATTCTCAAACATATTTGATGAGAATATGGCCTTGTAATAAAAATAACGTAGACTTTTCTTATAATTATATGAAACTAATGATTTCACCAAGGTCATGAAATGACATGGAGATAAGATGAATATGAATCACTAGCTGAAATCATTACATAGATGTCAAAAAACAAAACAAAAAATCATTGCATACAATTTGATCTTGAACAACTTGTGTACACATGTTGGAATAATAGGCAATACATTACTCGACGAAAATTTTGCCACTTAAAGTTTTGTCCATCATGTATCATAAGTTCTTAAGATTTTGACAAGTTTTTAAGATTATCCCATTACTTTATATATAGAGTATCAATTTTGACAAGTTTTTAAGATTATCCCATTAACTTATTGTAATGGATATCTGAAGTATTGTGAAGCAAAAATAAAGAAAAAATTGGATGTTTGTTGCATTTTTTTACTTGGATTTTACAATATGTTATCTTTATTGTAAGATATGAAATGTGTCGCAATTGAAGTTTTTACTTATTTTTAAAAAATATTAGATAATTATGTGTCATGATTTAAGTTCAAAATCAGGTATAGTTTCATTAGACATATATACACACTGCTAATGTATTACTACTAGCATATGGAATGTATTCTTCAAAACGCTCTTTTTTTTTGTGTGTGGCAAAAACCCATAAGGATATCGATCTTTGCTAATTTTGTGAAATAATAATAACAACCATACCAATTTTGGTGATCTATGTGATAATCTCTAATTAAGGATGACATAAATCACATAAATTAACAAGAGCCAAATTTTGTTAGAAACAAATTATCGAAAATCAAAGATTCTTGTTCTTCTTCTGTGTATAGATGTAATCAGTATGAGCTACCAAAGATCTCCTCATTAAACAATCTTCGTCGTTGTCACCACAGTTCTCTTCTGCCATTTCGTCTAATCTTCCTTCCATCTTCTTCTCCTGCCATATTCATCATACACATTACATTACATGCAAGCAAAAGTTTCAAATTGATTTATCAACCATATATTTGATAGAGTCATCATGGCATGTGACTATATATAGACTAACCATGTTACATGGATCGGAAGCAGTCGTGATGACGACAGTGAAGGCCGGGTTGGGACGGGCGGAGCACATTAGCGTGGAGCAAAGGAGGAGAGCTATCATGAGCAAGGCGGAGACGTTTGCCATTTTTTTCTTGTGATGTCTTCTTTAAGGGGGAGAGAGATGTTTTAAAAGAGAGAAGTTGACGAGTTTGATTTCTTTCAAACTCAAATTTATAGCCAAAAAAAATTAGTCAAATCTATTTTTGTCTTGTTCATTTATTTATTATATAAAACCAAAATTGGGATCTTATATCACACGTTGATAACCTCAAATCTTTTAATAGGAGAGTCTCTAATTATGGAGTTTTGGGTGGACTCGTTTGACCGATTGAATTGGAAGTGGAAACTAAATTAAAATATTTTCACACTTGTGGCAATAGTTTTGTTTAGTAGTGGACTTAGACCAAACCGATAAGGAAGCACACAAAAAATAATAGTCGCGGCGTGTATGAAACGTGGGATGATAGAGCCACCTAGTAGTGATCATACTCCACTTCGTTAAAGCCATTTTAGTTTTATTCAAAAGTTTAATAACGTCACCTACCTACATAGTAACACATTAGCAAAATATCATTTGACCACATGATATAAAACAAAATATTATACACACTCACTATACGTTCGAGTCCACACGGATGCAATGGATCCAACGATGGTGTGTGTAGCCGACATTGAACAACTGTCAATATGTTAAAAGTGTGAATGGATAACATAAATCTAACAAAAAGATTTATACAAATCGATTTTAATAGATATAAATCAGTGCAAATCGAACGTAATCTATGAGTAAATAAAATATATATTAAAATTGATTTGTATAGATATAAATCAGTGCAAATTGATTTGTATAAATATCTATGGAGTAAAATATAAATCTAAAAATTATTAAACTATGAGTGAATTATAATAAGATTTTGAGTACTATAGAAAAAATTATGAACAAACTTCTACTGATCGATAAAATTAAAACGAACAATTTTTTTGCATCTATACTATTAATTGGGAAGGACAACTTGAAGCCAAACACCCCCCAATTTAAAAAAAAACATTTCATGAAAATAAAACCAGTTGCCAAACAGAATTATTATTGACAGCAAAAAAAAAAAAAAAACAAAAACAAAAACAATCTATATTTATGAAAATCATAATAATCTTTTACCATAAAAAGTGGACAATTAAATTCAAAACTAAATATATATAAACAAATATATTTTGAATATACATAAACATATTTATTATTAATTTAATATGTTAATATAATTTCAAATTAATAATTTATATAGAATGAAATCTAATAAAACAAAATCATCATATCTAAAATAACAAAGATAAAATTTTTTAGAAAAATAAAAAAGATAAAAAAATATGTTAGCATATGAAATAATCAACTAATCAAATTCTACATAGTATATATACATAACTGATCATATCATAAAATTTTAAAAAAT